TCGGAGAATCCCTGGCACTAGTGCTGGTTGGAGGGCGCCTCTTAGGGGAATTCGCTTCAGGTGAGCGTCTTTGTCGTTTCTTATGGGGCGATGCACTGGCGCCTTCGTCCGCACTTGAGTCACTTGCACACGAGTCACTGATCGTTCCGCGCACAGAGGGGTTGAGTCGCGCACTGTTCGGGCGCGAAGTCGTCTCGGGGAGGAAGCTGGGGCTGAATGCCTCGGGTCCTGGTACCGTTTTGGTGAGCTCGGCAAGTTTTGCCAGCAGCTGCTGGTTCTGCATGGTGAGGTCCCGAACCTGCTGTTCGAGCACCAGTAGTTTAGCCGTGGCTTCGGCATTCACCATGTCGGAGAATGCCGTGTAGTCAGCCGCTGAAAAGGGCTGTTTGGGGTTGGGCCTTGAAGGCCGAGGAGCGTCGTCGCACTCGTAATCCACCGCGGCAGCTCTGAATTGAACTTTGCACATAACACAACAAGTCACAGGGCGAGGAGAGGCACAATGAATAAACAAGAGCACTAACCTTAATCCTGGGAGCTGTATTGGCACGTCCGCACTGGTCGACGAGTCATCCGGAACTTGTGTTTGAACACTCCAATTTTTTTTTTTTTCTTACATTGGAATAGGTAGAGGAATGTCCTCGTTGCCCTTTTATCAGTGTGATCCTGTCTTTGATATAATTTTGAGGGAGTAAAAACTCAGCCTAACGGCACATGATTTGAATTTTTGCTGTGTTGGTAGCCTAAGGGCTCATGTGTTAGTTCATTATCGTGAATGAGGTCTCTCAGTGTCAGGTGAGAGCCGTCCTTGGCCTCTTGTGACGATGGTACTCGTCAGGATCGTAGTCGACAGCCTCCCTTAGTAGAGGATTTGCATGTGATTCGGCCCTGGCAAAAGCCTTCGTCGCTGTCTTGGCCAAAACTTCGGAGATGTAGGGCATGTTGGCCTCGCGATGTAGCTGTACATTCCTGACATACCAGGGTGCGTCGAAGATATTCCTCAGGATCTTATTTTGGATCACTTGAAGCTTGTGTAAATGGGTATGTTCTGCGTGACCCCATGCAGGAGATGCATAAATCATGTCTGATCTTACGATTGATTTATACATAGCCAACTTGCTCTGAGTGTTCAACTGACTCTTTCGATTCATGAGCGGATAGAGCAATCTGATGGTGGAGTAGGCTTTGCTCTTGGCCATCTCAGTGTGTTCTTTGAAGCGCAAACCCTTGTCTAGGATGACCCCTAGGTACTTCGTGGATGACTTCCATGTCACCTCCTCACCAAACACTGAGAGCTCACCAACTGGAGTAGCGCGCCTTCGAGTAAACAACACTGCTGCACTCTTTGCTGGGTTGACGTCAATACGCCAAAGCCTAAACCATTCTTCAAGTTGATCCAGTGCCTCTTGAAGAAGTCGCGTGATGTGGACAGCGCTGGAGTGCCTTACAAGGATCGCAGTGTCATCGGCATAGTATGCAGCGGTGGAGGCGTATCCGGCCTGGATTTTTGGCATGTCAGCCATGAAGATGGCGAAAAGGAATGGCGACAGAATTGATCCCTGCGGCACCCCTGATCTGATGGCACGAGCGGTAGATCGTACATCCCCCAACTTCACACAAAACGTACGGTGTTCCAGGTACGATTTTATAATTTGAATCAGTCCAGCTGGAAAACTGTTCGAGATCATTTTGTACAGCAGGCCCTTGTGCCAGACTTTGTCAAAGGCCTTGGCCACGTCAAGAAAGACCCCGCCAGTGTGTTTCTTCCAGTTGAAGCCATGTGTAATCCGTTCAACAACACGGAGTAGCTGGTCTGTGGAAGAGTGAGCGTCCCTGAAGCCAAACTGCTCATCGGGTATGATCTTTTGCTGGGCCTCGAACTCCTTAAGTCTGTGGAGGATCACCTTCTCTGCAACCTTCCCAATGCCCGGAAGCAGACTGATTGGCCTGTAGTTTTGGGGAAACTGGCGTTCGTTTGCCGTTTTCAGAATCAGTATGATGTCCGCTTTCTTCCATGCCTCCGGGAAGTATCGAAGACGAAGCATCGCGTTGATGATTGCAACTATGTGCATCACAGATCTCCGAGGAAGTAGCTTAATCATCAGGTTACTGATTCCATCAAATCCAGGGGCTTTCTTGTTCTTCAGTTGTTTAATCAGTGCGTGGACTTCTCTGGGGGTGGCTGGATCAATGGCAACATCGTCGGTCAAGTCTCTAAGCGAGTGACGAACATGTCTATGCACATGCTCAATATGGTCCAGGTCGGCGTGTCTGTAGTTGGGGCTACATTGCGACTCCAAGCTGTCTGCAAAGACCTCAGCCTTGTCAACATCAGAGTGCACCAGGCCAGCTCTTCCATGGAGCGGCGGGATCAGAGATTTCTTGCATCTGAAGTGCTTGGCCACACTCCAGGCTGAGCCATCTTCGGTGGAGAACTGGCGTAACTTCTCCTGCCATTTCTCGTTCCGGAACAGCTCCAGCTCGTCCCGAACTCTCTGGGTGAGTCTGTTGAGTTCCCGCTTATGGTCGGGGATGGGAGTCCTCTGGTAGATCTTCTTGGCAGCTCTCTTATCCCTGATCAGTTGGTAGAGATCATACGGGAGGTTGTTCGTAAACCTACGACACGGAGCTTGGTGGGTGGAGTTTGCTAGAGCCTGTTTCATCGTTGATTGAAAGGCGTCGACTGCAGTTTCGATCTCGTCTCGGGTTNACTACAGGATTGTGGTCGGAGCTCAACTCATCAAGCACATCAATGGTGAAACTGTGGGTCACGTTCTTGAGGATGGCTATGTCCAGTACGTCAGGTCTACCAACCGGACCGTAGTGTGTTGGGGCATCTGGACCAATCACGATGATGTCGGTGTCGTCCATAAGTTTCTGGAGAGCACGCCCACTGGTGTTGGTGGCACGGCTATTCCAGGACGGGTGCTTGGCATTGAGATCGCCGGCAATGACTAGAGCACCGTTGAAGTCCAGCATTCGCACTAGGTCAGGAATCGGGAGTCTTCGGTTGGGAGGATGATATGCTGCATAAATTCTAATCATGTTGCCATCTGCAAGGTTGATGTCGATGCCAGTGACCTCAATCTGGAGAGGGCCAGGAAGCGTAAAAGTTTGGTGTGCGATGTTTCGCTTCACGAAGATAGCAGTTCCTCCTCCAGGTCGACCAAGTCGGTCGTTGCGGTAGAGATAATAGTTCGGAATGTTGATCTGGTGGGCGGGTTTGAGGTGAGACTCAGTGATGAGAATCACATCTGCTGCTCGATCTTCTGCAAGCTGCCTCAGCTCCAGAATCTTGCTTGGGAGACCGTTCGCATTCCAGAACAGGATCTCAAGTGCTTCAGGTTTCCTTCTGTTAACGGGCATACGGTGGGTGTTGCAAAGGAAGGACTGTCGTGATCCTCTCCATGAGGGTTTGCATGGTGAGCATGAGATTAGCGAACATCTCCATGCTGATCACCTGGGGGGCTGCTGCAGCTGCGGAGTAGCTGCCGGGAATGAGTGTGCCGCGTGGCGCCAACGAAGGCGGCGAACGGGCAGGCTGGCTAGGTGCAAATTGCCTTGGTTCTTGACTACGAACAGCAGCCTGAGCGTAGCTCAATCCTTCATGTACTGCCTTGGCTGGAGAGCCTTTGGATTTCTTTGCGTCCAGCTGAGGCCAGACTGGGCAACCTCTGTAACTGGCTGGATGTGGGCCTCCGCAGTTGGCGCACTTTGCCTCTGATTTCGGACTCTTCTTGCAGTCAGCAGTTGCGTGGTCTTTACCGCACTTAACGCATTTCTGAGCAGCGCGACAACAATTTTGGCATGGCCCCATTTCTGGCACCTGTAGCACTGTCCTACAACCTTCTTCTTGTGGAGCGCTTCAGGACGGACAGCGACTCCGCAGACGCCCCTGATGTTAAAAAGTTTGTTCTTGTCGCCCTTAGCGACTTCCACAATGGCCATGTCAACTGGCATCTTCCTGGACATCATGCGACTGACTTTGATGACAGGTATGCCTTTGGCAATTAAGTCATCCTTAGCATCATCGAGATTCACATCCCTGTCCAAACCTCGGAGCACTACCTTTGCCGTTTTGTCGCAGGCAAGGGGAAAAGTGTGGTAGAGAATCTTCTGCTCGTCCAGAAATTTTGTGATGCCACGGTAGTCATCTTCGCTCATGGGTTGCAAGCGAAGGCCTTCAGGGGTGGATTTGGCAAGTTTAATCTTAAAGCCAAGAGCAGTCAATCTGCCAGAGAGCTGGACCCAGCCAGTTCTGGCACGTAGGATGATCGGAGGGGTGCGAGCGCTGCTGATTTGCGGCGGAGTTACGTTGGCGTTTACGTTGTTGTTTGAAGCGAACACTGGCTGCGGGGGGCTGCTGACGTCATCGTTTGATTCGGGCGTGTTACTCACCGGAGCTTGTGGTGGAGCGCCGTTGGTGATCGGGCTTGTAGGTGGTCGGCGTTTGGGGGACAGCGATACAGGGGAGTATCGTTGACGCTTTTTGTTGCGCTTCACTTGGTTGCT